TTTATAAATAGGGTGACATGAGCAGGGTGGTGTGTAATTGGAGTGCGGTATGAGGGGCATACTTGAGGAGGTTTATAAATAGGGTGACATGAGCAGGGTGGCGTGTAATTGGAGTGCGGAATGAGAGGCATACTTGAGGAGGTTTATAAATAGAGTGACATGAGCAAGGTGGCGTGTAAATGGAGTGCGGAATGAGGGGCATACTTGAGGAGGTTTATAAATAGGGTGACATGAGCTGGGTGGCGTGTAATTGGAGTGCGGAATGAGGGGCATACTTGAGGAGGTTTAGAAATAGGGAGACATGAGCAGGGTGGCATGTAATTGGAGTGCGGTATGAGGGGGGCATACTTGAGGAGGTTTATAAATAGAGTGACATGAGCAAGGTGGCGTGTAATTGGAGTGCGGAATGAGGGGCATACTTGAGGAGGTTTATAAATAGGGTGACATGAGCTGGGTGGCGTGTAATTGGAGTGCGGTATGAGGGGCATACTTGAGGAGGTTTAGAAATGGGGTGACATGAGCAGAGTGGTGTGTAATTGGAGTGCGAAATGAGGGGCATACTTGAGGAGGTTTATAAATAGGGTGACATGAGCAGGGTGGTGTGTAATTAGAGTGCGGAATGAGGGGCATACTTGAGGAGGTTTATAAATAGGGTGACATGAGCAGGGTGGTGTGTAATTAGAGTGCGGTATGAGGGGCATACTTGAGGAGGTTTAGAAATGGGGTGACAAGGGCAGAGTGGGGTATAAGTGGGGTGATGTATGGGGGCATACATGAGGAAGTTTAGAAGTGGGGTGACATGAGCAGGGTGGGGAATAAGTGGGATGGTGTAATGGGGAGCATACATGAGGATGTTTAGAAGTGGGGTAACTTGAGCAGGGTGGGGTATAAGTGGAGTGACGTATGAGGGGCATGCATGGAAAGGTTTAGAAGTGGCCTGACATGATCAGGGTAGGGTATAAGTGGAGTGACATATGGGAAGCACACGTGAGGAGGTTTAGAAATGTGGTGACCTGATCGGGGTTGGGTATAAGTGGAGTTACATATGGGAGGCATGATGAGGAGGTTTAGAAGTGGTGGTGACATGAGCAGGGTGGGGTATAAGTGGGGTGACGTATAGGGGGCATACATGAGGAAGTTTAGAAGTGGGGTGACATGAGCAAGGTGGGATATAAGTGGGATGACATAATAGGGAGCATATATGAGGTTTATAAGTGGGGTAACATGAGCAGGGTGGGGTATAAGTGGAGTGTAAATAGGGAGCACACATGTGGAGGTTTAGAAGTGGGGTGTTATGATCAGGGTGGGGTATAAGTGAAGTGACATATGTGAAGCACACACAAGGAGATTTAGAAATGGGGTGACATGATCGGGGTGGGATATAAGTGGAATGATATATGGGAGCCACACATTAGGAGGTTTAGAATTGGGTGACATGAGCAGGGTGGGGTATAGAGTAATGTATGGGGGGGGGGCATACATGAGGAGGTTTAGAAGTGTGATGACACGAGCAGGCTGGGGTATAAGTGGAGTGATGTATGGGGGGCATACATGAGGAAGTTTAGAACTGGGGTGACATGAGCAGGGTGGGATATAAGTGGGGTGACATATGAGGGGCATACATGTGGAGGTTTAGAAGTGGGGTAACATGAGCAGGGTGGGGTATAAGTGGAGTGATATATGGGGGGCATGCATAGGGAGGTTTATAAGTGGGGTGACATGATCAGGTAGGGTTATAAGTGGAGTTACATATGGGAGGCATACATGAGGAGGTTTAGAAGTGGGGGTGACATGATCAGGGTGGGGTATAAGTGGAGTGAAGTATGGGGGACACACAAGGAGGTTTAGAAATAGGGTGACATGAGCAGGGTGGCATGTAATTGAAGTGATGTATGGGGGGCATATTTGAGGAGATTTGGAAATAGGGTGACATGGGCAGGGTGGGATATAAGTGAAGTATGGGGGGCATACTTGAGGTTTAGAAATAGGGTGACATGAGCAGGGTGGCACGTAATTGGAGTGAGGTATGGGGGGGGCATACTTAAGGAGATTTAGAAATAGGGTGACATGAGGAGCAGGGAGGCACGTAATTGGAGTGAGGTATGGGGGGGCATACTTGAGGAGATTTGGAAATAGGGTGACATGAGCAGGGTGGGATATAAGTGGAGTGAAGTATGGGGGGCATACTTGAGGAGATTTAGAAATCGGGTGACATGAGCAGGGTGCCGTGTAATTGGAGTGAGGTATGGGGGGCATACTTGAGAAGATTTAGAGATAGGGTGACATGAGCAGGGTGACGTGTAATTGGAGTACGGTATGGGGGGCATACTTGACCCGGAGATTTAGAAATAGGGTGACATGATCAGGGTGACGTGTAATTGGAGTGAGGTATGGGGGGCATACTTGAGGAGATTTAGAATTAGGGTGACATGATCAGGGTGACGTGTAATTAGAGTGAGGTATGGGGGGCATACTTAAGGAGATTTAGAAATAGGGTGACATGAGAAGCAGGGTGGCACGTAATTGGAGTGAGGTATGGGGGGGGGGGCATACTTGAGGAGATTTAGAAATAGGGTGACATGATCAGGGTGACGTGTAATTGGAGTGAGGTATGGGGGGCATACTTGAGGTGATTTATAAATAGGGTGACATGAGGAGCAGGGTGGCACGTAATTGGAGTGAGGTATGGGGGGGCATACTTGAGGAGATTTGGAAATAGGGTGACATGAGCAGGGTGAGATATAAGTGAAGTATGAGGGGCATACTTGAGGAGATTTAGAAATAGGGTGACATGATCAGGGTGACGTGTAATTGGAGTGAGAGGTATGGGGGGCATACTTCAGGAGATTTAGAAATAGGGTGACATGAGCAGGGTGACGTGTAATTGGAGTGCGGTATGGGGGGCATACTTGAGGAGATTTAGAAATAGGGTGACATGATCAGGGTGACGTGTAATTGGAGTGAGGTATGGGGGGCATACTTGAGATTTAGAAATGGGGTGACATGATCAGGGTGACGTGTAATTGGAGTGAGGTATGGGGGGCATACTTGAGGAGATTTAGAAATAGGGTGACATGAGGAGCAGGGTGGCACGTAATTGGAGTGAGGTATGGGGGGGCATACTTGAGGATATTTGGAAATAGGGTGAAATGAGCAGGGTGGGATATAAGTGAAGTATGGGGGGCATACTTGAGGAGATTTAGAAATAGGGTGACATGATCAGGGTGACGTGTAATTGGAGTGAGGTATGGGGGGCATACTTGAGGTGATTTAGAAATAGGGTGACATGATCAGGGTGACATGTAATTGGAGTGAGGTATGGGGGGCATACTTGAGGAGATTTAGAAATAGGGTGACTTGAGCAGGGTGACGTGTAATTGGAGTGCGGTATGGGGGGCATACTTGAGGAGATTTAGAAATAGGGTGACATGATCAGGGTGACGTGTAATTGGAGTGAGGTATGGGGGGCATACTTGAGATTTAGAAATGGGGTGACATGATCAGGGTGACGTGTAATTGGAGTGAGGTATGGGGGGCATACTTGAGGAGATTTAGAAATAGGGTGACATGAGGAGCAGGGTGGCACGTAATTGGAGTGAGGTATGGGGGGGCATACTTGAGGATATTTGGAAATAGGGTGACATGAGCAGGGTGGGATATAAGTGAAGTATGGGGGGCATACTTGAGGAGATTTAGAAATAGGGTGACATGATCAGGGTGACGTGTAATTGGAGTGAGGTATGGGGGGCATACTTGAGGTGATTTAGAAATAGGGTGACATGATCAGGGTGACGTGTAATTGGAGTGAGGTATGGGGGGCATACTTGAGGAGATTTAGAAATAGGGTGACATGAGCAGGGTGACGTGTAATTGGAGTGCGGTATGGGGGGCATACTTGAGGAGATTTAGAAATAGGGTGACATGATCAGGGTGACGTGAAATTGGAGTGAGGTATGGGGGGCATACTTGAGATTTAGAAATAGGGTGACATGATCAGGGTGACGTGTAATTGGAGTGAGGTATGGGGGGCATACTTGAGATTTAGAAATAGGGTGACATGAGGAGCAGGGTGGCACGTAATTGGAGTGAGGTATGGGGGGGCATACTTGAGGAGATTTGGAAATAGGGTGACATGGGCAGGGTGGGATATAAGTGGAGTGAAGTATGGGGGGCATACTTGAGGAGATTTATAAATAGGGTGACATGATCAGGGTGACGTGTAATTGGAGTGAGTTATGGGGGGCATACTTGAGATTTAAAAGTGGTGTGACAAAGTAATGTACAGTAGTAAATAGAAATGAAAGTGTCAGAGAAGGTAGAAAACTTCTGAACACAGGTGTAGTGTGAAACGATGGAAGAATAAACAGGGATATGGATTGGTATGGAAACGATAGACAAGGCACAGCATGTGGTATTGTGCTGGTGGAATGTAAAGCCAGATAACCAAGGCTGCTGATAGTGGTGTACTAGAGCTGCAAGGTAGGCTGTTATCTCTAATGGCGGCCTTGCGTTGTACTGATTAACTGGAGTGTAAACAGCCCAGTATAAGCCGTTTTCTGTGAGTGCAGCTGCACCGTTATACTACTCTGCACTGCAATGTCCACATCTGCATAACGAGCTTCGTAAGTTGGTCATCTGCTGCCACCTAATGGTAGAAATCTAGTAATACCGATTAAATATTACGAAGAACGAATCACCGTATTTGCTTACCAGTTACACTTTCATACAAATATTTCTACCGTTGAACGCTGATCCGTTAATGAGGATTACGTTACTGACGCTATTTTTCCCTCTGTCTCATTTTGTGCTCTATGAGGATACTGGAACTGCCTAGGCGCCATGATTGGCAGCTCCTGCGGTCACACGGATAAAATTGATTGCTCGTCACTTCCGGGGCCCAGGCTGCTGTCAGCTGTTCGGATGATGTAAGTATTGGGTGCTGCCAGGAGGACACGGTGTTCTGAGACCCCTGACATTGTGCACAGAGCTGGGATTTGCACATGGGACATCACTCAGCTAAATCGGATTTAATAGGAAGGTGCTTACTCTTCTAGTGCTGGGAGATCTGTTCCTATTTATTTATATTTTATCATCATTTGTAAATCTAAACAGGCGTTGTCACACAGCACAGCAGACATAGGATAGAAACAATAACAGTTGATGTTGATTAGCAAATCTCTGACTCATGTGTGCCATGGTAGATCAGTTATTTCCAGGTTGACCCTTGCCCAGTCTGATGTCTCACTTTTCGCCACGCTGCACCCTTCAGGTACGAACACTTTGCTGAGAACAAACACTCGACGCTGCCGTACGGTACGGTTCTATTTTAATTTAATCATAGATATCCTTATTTTTTTCATTCACATCCACCCTATATAAGCTGAACATGCAGTGGTAAAGGAGAAACCAAGCTTTCTTAGAGCCAAACTCCGAGAAGCTTGAAAATTCCCTCTTGTATTGGTGCTGCTCTTGCAAGAGTCAAACTGTTCCTTTAGGTCTTGGAGGGGAATGGAAAAGATTTACTTACCGGATCCTCTGCTGCAATAGAATAAATGTTTGCTTTTGAGTTAAACCACTTTCCATCCTGAGGATTTACCCCTTTTACCCTTTTTTTTGCATGGAAATATGTAGTTTTTTATTGTAGGCTGTAATTTTTAGGAATAACTCACTGAAATCTGTCCGAACAAGAATCTATTAAACATTCCGGATATGATAAAATTTGAAACACAAAATCATAAATTATAATGTAATAAATAATCATAAAAAATAATAATATAAAAATAATAAATTTAATTCAATAATATAATCAAACCAAAAACACTGAAATTTGAAATACAGAGGCAAATTCACACATCGCTGAGCAAAGTCGCAAAATTGTTTTCAGTGTCTGATGACGAATTTCCCCACGAATCATTATCACTCAATTCTGCAAGTGGTTCTGATTTACTATTGCTGTTCTAAAACCGCTTTTGACGTAAAGGGACGCTTTTTGGACGCCATGGACTCTTCTAAGTTTCCAGGCAGAAAGAACATTCAAAATGCAGGCAGGGCACAGGACAAAGCACTAGGGACAAAATGTATGTGAAATGCATTGAAATAGCAATGACAGCAAAAATGAAATTTTTTATAAAATTCAAATTTCCCGCCGGTTCCGGTGCCCGTATGTCCCGACGTCACAGGGACCGGAACACAGAAGCCGGATGCCGGCATCGGCCGGAGGAGATGGCCGGGGACACTGGAGGGGACAGATCGCGGGAGCGAAGGACAAGGTAAGTGCTGCAGGGACCCCCAGAGAACGCCGCATGGTAAGCCCGAGTGTAGCTCGGGGTTACCGCTCTTGGTATAGAAATTTTACCCCGAGCTACACTCGGGAACACCGCTAAGAAGGTTAATGACCAGGCCTTTTTTCGCTGCACTATTTCAACTGATAATTGCGCGGTCATGCAATGCTGTACCCAAATGAAATTTACGGCCTTTTTTTTTTCACACAAATAGAGCTTTTTGGTGGTATTTCATCACCTGTGTGCTTTTTGTTTTTTGCGCTATACATAAAAAAAAAGGGAAAATTTTGAAAAAAAACTATATTTTTTACTTTCTGCTATAAAAAAATATATAGTAAACTCAAAGTTAGTCATAAACTAAGGCCAAAATGTATTCTGCTACATTTTTGGTGAAAAAAATCCCAATAAGTGTATATTGATTGCTTTGTGTGAAAGTTATAGCGTCTACAAACTATGGTATAGATACTGCGATTTACGCCATTTTTTTGCTATACAGCACTGCGCTAGTTTAACGGACAATTGCACGATCATGCAATACGGTACATAAATTAAATTTATGTCCTTTTTTTCGCACAAATAGAGCTTTCTTTCGGTGGTATTTTGTCACCTGTGCGCATTTTATTTTTGGCGCTATAAACAAAAAAAAGACAAAACATTTTGAACAAAACAATATTTTCTAATTTCTGTCATAAAAATATCCAAAAAACTAAAATTTTGTCATAAATTTAAGCCAAAATGTATTCTGCTATATGTTTTTGGTAAAAAAAAAAAAATCCCAATAAGCGTATATTGATTGATTTTTATATATGATATATTTATATATTGATTTTTACCAAAAACATGTAGCAGAATAAATTTTGGCCTAAATTTATGACGAAATTTGAGTTTTTTGGATATTTTTTATGACCGAATTGAGAAAATATGATTTTTTTTAAAACTTTTTTTGTTTATAGTGCCAAAAATAAAAGGTGCACAGGTAATCAAATACCACCAAAAGAAAGCTCTATTTGTGTGAAAAAAGGACATAAATTTAATTTATGTACCGTATTGCATGACCACGCAATTGTCAATTAAACTAGTGCAGAGCTCTACAGCAAAACAATTTTGTAAATTGCAGTATCTATACCATAGTTTGTAGACGCAATAACTTTCACATAAAGCAAACAATATACACTTATTGGGATTTTTTGTTTACCAAAAACATGTAGCAGAATACATTTTGGCCTAAAGTTATGACTAACTTTGAGTTTACTATATATTTTTTTTATGCCGAAAGTAAAAAATATTGTTTTTTCTTCAAAATTTTCGGTCTTTTTTTGTTTTATAGCGCGAAAAATAAAAAAGCACACAGGCGATGAAATACCACAGAAAGAAAGCTATATTTGTGTGAAAAAAAGGATGTAAATTTAGTTTGGGTACAGCATTGCATGACTACGCAATTATCAGTTGAAGTAGTGCAGCACTGAATAGCAAAACGTGGCCTGGTCATTAAGGGGGGGTAAATCCTCAGGAGGACAAGTGGTTAAAATGACGGCAAGGCCTCATGCACACTGGGCATTTTTACAGCTGCTGTTTTGGGTATCAGGAGTTTTTCCACAGCCATAAAACTACAGCATGTTATCCTTCAGTATGTGATCATGCACACACAGACTTTTATCAGTGTTTTTTGGCAGGGGCATTTTCAGGCTGGAAAAAAGCCAGAACTACTGCATTTGAAGAGGAGTTTTTCAGCTGTAAAAATGTTCTAACACTGCAAAATGTGGCTATCTGGCATTTCTGAAAGCTTAAATTCAAGTTTTTGTTGCCATGTAGTTTTGCTGAAAATTGTTGAAAAACATTAATGCAAAAACACTAAAAAAAGCAACAAAACTCGCATTTTTAAACACTGCATTCTACAGCTAACACTGCTGGAGTTTTTATAACGTCCAGTGTGCATGAGGCCTAAAGGTTAAAATTTTATATTTTAAACAAAACAAACATATAATACTTCTCTGCTCTGTGCAATAGTTTTGCACAGAGCAGCCTCGATCCTCCTCTTCAAGGGTGCCCTGCCAGTGCTTCTGGCCCTTCCCCACTGCCGAGTGCCTACCATAGCAAGCCGCTTGCTATGGGGGTACTTGTGCATGTTCGCTCCCAAACCTGCTCTGTGTGCCCATAAGGCACAGATTGGGGCGGGCTCAGCCCCACCCCTGCTTCCTTCTTACTGGCTGTGATTGACAGCAGCAGGAGCCAATGGCTCCCTCTGCTATGTCTGAGCCAGTGAGGAGACAGAGAGCCTCTACTTTGTGCACATCACTGGATTGTGATTGCTCCAATAAGTATAAGGGGGGGCTGGGTGGGAGCTGCCTGCAGAAGGTTTTCTATCTTAATGCAAAGAATACATTAAGGTAAAAAAAACCTTCTGCTTTTAGAACCACTTAAAGCAATCATAATATGTTAAAATAAGCAATAGCATAAGCTTAGAATGTCACAGAGATAAAGCCTCAGAGTTGACAGATGAGGAGAGAGGGAAGTGAAGGAAACATAGGAACAGCACTGCAGGAGGAAGCTAGAGGGGATGAACAGCAAGGAGTAGCACTGCAGGAAAGAACTGGAACAACACTGACATGAACATTGGCTGAGATCTTCTTCTGTAGGACCTCCAAATCTCAGCTATATTGGTTGATAGCAATGTTGTCTTTAACCACTTCCCGTCCGGCCCATGTAGATAAACGGCCGGACGGGAGTGCTGCCGAAGCGGGTGGACGTTTCTAAACTTCCCCCCGTCTCCATTGCCTGTGGCTGCCCTGGTAGCGTGCGGCACCACGACCCGCTGTGTCCGGAGGACACAGCGGAACACAGATCACTGTACGGGACCTCTGTGTCAGGTCTCGATTCATGTGATCACTGATTGGCCAGTCAGTGATCACATGAATAGTAGTAAACAAGATGTAACTTCCTGACATCATTGCTTACTACTTGTGAAATCTGTAAATGATCACAGAGGTCACATGGTACAAGGCTATTCACAGCTCTCACAGTATTTCTCAGTGGCTGCAGGAATGCAGCCAGAGAGGAAGAGAAATGATTACTTTTACAGCCTTTATGGGTGTAAAAGCAATCAGTGTAAAAAAAGAAAAAAACATCATCACCCCTCATAAGTAGTAGTGTCACTATGGTGACAATGTACTGCTAGGGTGACAGTATGTTATAAAAAAAAAACATAAATGATAATATAAAAATGTAAAAAAAAATTTGAAAAATAATTTTTGGTTATAAACTAATTTGGGTTATTTTGTTTTTACTAAAAAAGATAGATGAATACATTTTAGCCAAGATTTATGAAGAAAGATTATTTATTTGGAAAATTTTATTAGAAAAACACATTTTTTTTTCAAAATGTTTGGACTTTTTAATTTATATAACAAACAAAATAAAAATCCCAGTGGTGAATAAATACCACCAAAATAAAGTTTTATCTGTTTAAAAAAGTGTGATAGCACTGAAAGCTGAAAATTGCCTGGACTAGAAGGGGTGAAAGTGTCCAGACGTGAAGTGGTTAAAATCCACCTCCAGGAATTAGACTAAACGTACCCCCTCACTGTGCTCAGTCAATAGGCTATAACACTTACCTTTCCCTCGCTCTGGCCAGCTCCAGTTCTTTCCTCCTCTCCCCATAGTGCTCTGGGCTGTTGGCGGCCCTTTTGTGTCATCACATACAATGCAAGGCTGTTAACCCTGCAATGTATGTAGAGCAGGTAGAAGTGCAAGTGTGGCCAAGAGCACCTTAGATAAGTGGAGTTCAAGAGGCTGGCCGCACTGCTGGAGAGACTGTCCTGGAGCAAGGAATAAAATAAGCATTACTGCTTATTCCTATACCCATAGACTGACCGAAGCAGTTACCATTTGCAGGGTGGGGGTAGATCTTGTCTAATTTCCAGGGTTGGGCTTTGACAAATTTCTGAAATAAGTCCACCATGTTTGCAGGAACAGAACATTGAAATAAACTAAAATTTTGTTGCATTTGCAGTCATACTCAACCACAATCGACTATATAGTCCAAATTCATTAAATAAATTTAGGCTGATCCTAGCAAAAGAGTATGTCAGAATTGCACCCAAAATGTTGGCACACTTGAGGACTGTGCAGAGGAATCTGGCCCATGGGCAGCACAGTGGCTAAAATGGTTAGCATTTCCACCTGGCAGTACTAGGGTCGATGGTTCAAATCCCAACCACGGCACCACCTGCCTGGAGTTTGCATGTTTTTCCTCTGGCTGCGTGGGTTTCTTCCAGGTACTCCGGTTTCCTCCCACCCTCCAAAGACATGCTGGTAGGTTAATTGGATCCTGTTTAAATTGGCCCTTTTATGTGTAGGTTTGAATGTAAGTTAGGGACCGTAGATTGTACGCCCCTTGTGGGTTAGGGACTGATGTGAATGTACAATATATATGTAAAGCACTGTGTAAATTGATGGCGCTATATAAGTACCTGAAATAAATTTTAAAAATTAGCATATTTCTATTTCATGCAACACATTACCATTGTGCCGTGTTCTGTCTCTCCAATCTAAGCATTGAAAATGTGATCTCTATAACTTACAGTTATGATGAGATAATGATAACTCCAATCTCATTTGGATACCACAGTCAGTGGCGCAATCAAGATGACATCTTGTAGATCTTGTGAAGTTTATTCCATAAACTGAGAGAATCTTACAACAATGAACATCTGATAGGTCAAAAGATCACAATGTGTCCTGCTTCATGACATGAGACTAGAGCTGCAATGCCTTACTGGGAAAAGGGGTGGGCTATCTATACAGCATTAACTAAACCAAAGGAAAAGGAGGAGCAGAGACAAAATATAGAAAACACTTAAAAGGCATATGACAGTCAATATGAACAGTCATATAAAACATGACATGCCATGTTCCACTTTTATTAACTTGTTAAATCTGAAACACCAGTATGCATATAGAACTTGGCGCCAATCTTTGTTCATTCTCCCTGTTGTGTCTAAAATCACAGTAATAATGTTAAAGCTGCACTTTACACACTAAAGCTGTTGCACCATATTTTTCATCAGGTCAACGCAAAATATGCGAGTTGCAGTAATTGGAGGAGGCCTGGTTGGTCTGTCAACGGCTCTGTACATCACTGAGTCCCTTCCACAATGTACAGTCACTGTCATTTCTGAGAAATTCTCTCCAAACACCACTGGGGATGTGGCTGCTGGAAGTCTCATACCTCACACTTACCCTGGTAAGTATATTTAGACTTTATTTTGCTGCTGTTTTTAACACAAATCTGCAAATAACATTGCCTTTTTAACATATGCTTTTGTTTTGCAAGACACCCCACTTCATCATCAGAAAGACTGGTTCAAGGAGACGTTTGATTATCTTTTTAAAATTGCTAACTCTCCAGAAGCTGCTGTGGCTGGTGTTAGCTTAATTTCTGGGTAAGAAAATACCTTCCAAAATATTAAGTGCGTATTTCTGTAGTATGCAAAATATAGAGTTTTTTTTTCTTGAAAGAAATATTTGTGAAGAGAAACTCCAACAAAAGCAAAATCTGTTTTTATGTCACTGCCTAACTGTAATTTGTGCTTGCGCAGTCAGTCTGTGGCAGCATTTCTGAACATTTTTCAGTAGTACACAGAATCTCGAGGCACCTCAGTCTAAATTGTAAGAAACTTATCAATAAGAAAAGCTGAACAAGCTCCATGATGGAATTAGCTTCAAATCAGGAGCCCACAGCAATCGCATCAGGGGTTATGCCATCGGGTTAAAGGCCCACCAATCACACAGTCCCCTCTTCACATCAGATCCCTACCTTTGAGCTTCAGTGGCACGGCAGAGGGGGAGAAGAGGAGGTTGGGAGAAAGCAGACTTCCATATTTTCTTGATAGCTGGTGGGTGTGAACTTGCATGCCACCTGCCCAGGATTAGTCATGTGTTGCCATGGTGCAGGTGTGCTGGCTGCCATAGCAACAGATGACACTCTGTGTCTTGGCGCTAGCGCGTCATTATTATAGTGGTGTTGACGGCCGGTCCACCGGCACCATAGCAACACATGACACTGATTTAGAGCAAACAGGGTGCCATGCTCGCGGCACCCTGGGGAAACCCAGATGCTGCCCCAGGGTGCTGCAGCACCCCAATTGAGAAACGCTGGTCTATGGTTTTGCCTGTGTTTTCCATGCAATTTTGTTGTATTAACTTAAAGATGAGGTATGGCTAGAAACAATTTTTGTATATTTTCACAGTGAAACTTACCTCCAATGAAGTGTGCCTCATTTTTGGCTGATACAGTGTTTGTTAAAACATTTATTTTAATCAGCCTGCAGTCTCTCTTCAGTGTTGAACATCCAACACCAAAACTCATATTTCCAGCTGCAGTACAGGTATTACAGGAGGTCGCTCACTTATTACTTTCTCTAGTCAGAAAAGGCCTTGTACTCTTTTTCACTGAATGCAAGGCTTTCTGTGAATTGAGGAGGTGTGGATGGACATCCTAGTCTAAAGACCTTGTAAGGGATACCAAGTGCAGGTATCCAATGGCAGCAGGATCAAACCAGTTCAGCATAGCTAAGTCACACATACAGAAGATAGGTGCTGCAACCCTCATAGCATATTCCAAAGGGAGTATGTATCTCGCTGTGTGACTCCTGCGGTTTCCATCTGCTGAACCAGTAAATCAATTCATATAGGATTGGCAACAAGGTGAAGATGAAATAGTGAAAGCTTTATTCAAATGCGGAGTATAAAATAGTTCCAGAATACAAGCAACACTAACGTGTTTCAGTCAAACAAGACCTTACACACTATGAGTAAGGTCTTGTTTGACTGAAACACGTTAGTGTTGCTTGTATTCTGGAACTATTTTATACTCCGCATTTGAATAAAGCTTTCACTATTTCATCTTCACCTTGTTGCCAATCCTATATGATTTGAGTTCAGTGTAGCTGTACTTAAGAAACTGAAACCAGACTGTGTATGATTATATTAAAGTTTATTAATGCACACAACACTAAAACAACACCAACAGACCATAAGTAAAGCAAATCCAAACCAACAACTTGACTATATACACTAAATACAAATAGATAGGAGCAGACATACACAGAGCATGTGCAGAACAAGGGGAGCAGAGATGGGGATAACAGGATACAGGGTACTGGACACATGGCTAACAGGCAAAATACTGAAGAAATTATGCAAATCAGGGGAGGAGTTATATACCTTACCAGCAGCCAGCAGCAAGTGGAGTCTAATTACTGGGATCTGCTGGCTGCTGGAGACCACGAGACCTCTCCGGTGACCACGAAAACTGCGCTCCTCATCTCTGGGAACAACAGAGCAACCAGCAGGTCCTGACAGACCCCTAGAAAGAGTTTCCTTCACTTCCTGTTCTGAAGACACTACAGGAAATCAGAGGATGGCTTAGGGAAACTTCCCTTTAAGACTGTTGTTACTGCAACAGGGGTCCCCTTTGGAAGTTTTACTTTCACTTCTTGTTTTTGTGACAACTGTAATTTTTTTTTCATTTTTCATCACTTTCTGTCCCAGTCATAATGGTCACCTGGACAAATACAGTGGTTAAATCTACCTAGCCAGGACACAGACACAGCAATAAAAAAAATAAAAAAAAATTGCCAGGGATTCTAAATCTTCTTTAACTGAAGTTGGAATTCCTGATTTACATACTTGAATCAGGCCAGCTACTCAGATGGCCATTCTTGAAGCTAAGAATGATAGCCAAGAAACTAACATTTTGTTAATGAAAGTCAATGACAGCCTCCCCGTTTCTGTTGTGACATGTTTCCTTTAATATTTGTTTGATCTGTGATCATCTGCAGAACAAGTCATATGCTCTTCAGTCACTACTTTATGTAAAGATGAGACTTAGATATCACATATGTCAATATCAAATATGTATTACGCAATTTTGTTTAGTTTTTTTGTGCGTCCTGGGAGTATGTAAGTTTATATAAATGCATAGCGGTGGGTGTGTGGATCCCTCAAATTCTATTTTTTAAACCCTTTCTACCCGCCTTGCCATCCTTATTAACTGGGTTTATAGACTTGGGGGGAAGGGGGGTGCGAACGGGAAGATCTGCTTAATCATGTGACCACTGTGATTGACTATTGTGGTGGTCATATGATCGGGAGCCGGTCCTACCAGTTCCCAGTCATTGGTACAGATCAAGAGCTGTCTTTGAGCATGTTCTCAGCACAGAAATGTTGCCACTCATAAACATGTATGTGCAGCGTGTGGGTGCTAAAGCCCACCATTGTTGCCGCTACACATACAGTACGCATTATGTGGGCAAGAGGTTAACAAAAGAGGTTATTTTATTCAACTTTTTTTTCACTTTTTTGCTATCACAAGGGGGCTACAAGTCCCCCATATGGAATACACTGTCCAGTGACAGGTCTTGTTTTTGGAGACATCTGGAGTCTATAAGACCCCTGATGTCTCCCTTACACTGCTTACAAACAAGTCAAATATTAGCAGTGCTCAGCTTTAACATTCCTGACTGTCAGCTACCAGAATTTGACAGTGGCGCCCAGAGAAGAGTACTTCCAAATTCACAAAAAAGCGGGAGGAACGGATAATGGAGGCTTGCCGGTCTTTCTTCACTCAGCTATCCTTAACACTACTGTGCTATCCTGAGCTCCTAGTGTTAACCTCGAACATTACTCCCAAAATTAACTTGTTAAAATGGTTACCCCAACTTCAGGGATAACACAGGGTGCTCAGAGATACCTGTTTTTACATTTGAATTCCTGGCTTGGGGTAATGGCAGCAAAAAAGTTGGTACACTAGGCTGGCTGTGCAGAGCTGTGTAAATTACAGAATTTGGTGGACAGAAATACAAATCCTTTTGGCAGGTATATCAGCACTTATATAGATATTTGCACTTTGTATATAACTGTGTTTCAGGATTTAAGTTATAAAAATATTTGATATCATTTTCATCAGATGGCAAGTATTCAAGATGCCTCCTAAGGATGCCTTTCCATTTTGGGGCAGTGTGGTTTTGGGTTTTCGTTTGATGACAGAGGCGGAGCTGGCAAAATTCCCATCTTATACATTTGGGCAGGCCTTCACCACACTAAAATGCCAATCTTCACTTTATTTGCCATGGATGGAAAAAAGGTGAGTTTTTTGTATTTATTGTAAGGAGCTCAAACTGCAGTTCTGGGTATGTCAAACCATTTTGTGAAATTTTTTTTACAACTGCTGTCTTTTTGTCTAGTGTGTTCTTTTCCATTTGATGGACAAGGTTGGGGATGTTACTAACAATGTGTTTTAGTTGGTAAAGGAGTATGCAGTATGTGCAGGAAAGAATTGTGGAGGGTATGACAGTGGGCAGTATGTACAGGAAAGAAGTGTGGAGGGTATGACAGTGGGCCATATGTGCAGGAGAGGAGTGTGGAGGGTATGACAGCGGGCAGTATGTACAGGAGAGGAGTGTGGAGGGAATGACAGCAGGCACTGTGTACAGGAGAGGAGTGTGGAGGTAGACAGTGGGCAGTATGTACAGGAGAGGAGTGTGGAGGGAATGACAGCAGGCACTATGTACAGGAGAGGAGTGTGGAGGGAATGACAGCAGGCACTATGTACAGGAGAGGAATGTGGAGAGTCTGATAGCAGGCACTGTGTACAGGAGAGGAGTGTGGAGGGTATGACAGCAGGCACTGTGTACAGGAGAGGAGTGCGGAGGGTATGACAGTGATCAGAATGTACAGGAGAGGAGTGCGGAGGGTATGACAGTGATCAGAATGTACAGGAGAGGAGTGTGGAGGGTATGACAGTGATCAGAATGTACAGGAGAGGAGTGTGGAGGGTATGACAGTGATCAGAATGTACAGGAGAGGAGTGTGGAGGGTATGACAGCAGGCACTGTGTACAGGAGAGGAGTGCGGAGGGTATGACAGTGATCAGAATGTACAGGAGAGGAGTGTGGAGGGTATGACAGTGATCAGAATGTACAGGAGAGGAGTGTAGAGGGTATGACAGTGATCAGAATGTACAGGAGAGGAGTGTGGAGGGTATGACAGCAGGCACTGTGTACAGGAGAGGAGTGTGGAGGGTATGACAGTGGATCAGTGACAGTATGTACAGGACAGAAGTGTGGAGGGTATGACAGTGGGCAGTATGTACAGGAGAGAAGTGTGGAGGGTATTACAGCAGGCACTATGCAATGGAAAGGAGTGTGGAGGGTATGAAAGCAGGCATTATGTACAGGAGAGGAGTGTGGAGGGTATGACAGTGGGCACTATGTACAGGAAAGAAGTGTGGAGGGTATGACAGTGGGCAGTATGAACAGGAGAGGAGTGTGGAGGGTATGATAGTGGACAGTATGTACAGGAGAGAAGTGTGGAGGGTATGACAGTGGGCAGTATGTACAGGAGAGAAGTGTGGAGAATATTACAGCAGGCACTATGTAATGGAAAGGAGTGTGGAGGGTATGAAAGCAGGCATTATGTACAGGAGAGAGGAGTGGAGGGTATGACAGTGGGCAGTATGTACAGGAAAGAAGTGTGGAGGGTATGACAGTGGGCAGTATGAACAGGAGAGGAGTGTGGAGGGTATGACAGTGGGCAGTATGTACAGGAGAGAAGTGTGGAGAATATTACAGCAGGCACTATGCAATGGAAAGGAGTGTGGAGGATATGAAAGCAGGCATTATGTACAGGAGAGCAGCGTGGACGGTATGACAGCAGGCACTATGTATAGGAGTGTGATTCATATACTGCCTGCTGTCATACCTTCCAGAGGAATGTGGAGGGTATGGTAGTATGTATAAGAGAGGAGTATAGAGATTATGACAGCAGGCAGTATACAGTTGAAGAAAAAGTATGTGAACCCCTTGGGATTATGTGGAGTTTTGCATGAATTGGGCAGAAAATGTGTGAACATCATCTAAGTCACAGCAATAGAAGAACACAGTCTGCTAAACATAATACACACAAACATTAGATGTTGCCATGGTTTAATTGCACATAACATGTAAACATTCACAGTGCAGGGAGGAAAAAGTATGTGAACCTTTGGATTTAATAACTGGTTGACCCTCCTTTGGCAGCAATAACCTCAACCAAACGTTTCCTGTAGTTGAAGATCAGACCTGCACAACGATCTGGAGTAATTTTGGACCACTCCTTCACTTCTTCACAAAACTGTTTCAGTGTAGCAATATTCTTGGGATGTCTGGTGTGAATCGCTCTCTTAAGGTCATGCCACAGCATTTCAATCGGGTTGAGGTCAGGACTCTGACTGGGCCACTCCAGTAGGCGTATTCTGTGCTGTTGCAGCCATTGTTTTGTTGAATTACTTGTATGCTTTGGGTCATTGTCCTGTTGCATCACCCATCCTCTGCGGAGCTTCAGTTGGCGGACAGATGGTCGTACGTTTTCCTACAAAATGTCTTGATAAACTCTGGAATTCATTTTCCCATCAATGACAACAATCCGTCCAGCCCTGAGGCAGCAAAGCAGCCCCAAACCATGATGCTCCCTCTGCCATGTTTTACAGGGGATGAGGTTTTGATGTTGGTGTGCTGTGCCTTTTTTTCTCCACACATAGTGTTGTGTGTTCTTCCCAAACAACTCAATCTTGGTTTCATCTGTCCACAGTATATTTTGTCAGTAGTGCTGTGGAACATCCAGGTGCTCTTTTGCAAACTTCAAACGTGCTGCAATATTCTTTTTGGACAGCAATGGCTTCCTCCGTGGTGTCCTCCCATGTACTCCATTCTTGTGTAATGTTTTCCTTTTTGTAGATGTGTCAACAAAAATGTTAGCATGTGCCAGAGATTTCTGTAGGTCTTTAGCTGACACTCTGAGATTCTTCTTTACCTCATGCAGCATTCTGCGCTGTGCTCTTGCAGTCATTTTTACAGAACGACCAAGCCTAGGGAGAGTAGCAACCGTGCTAAACTTTCTCCATTTGTAGACAGTCTGTCTTACTGTGGACACATGAACATCAAGGCTTTTGGAGATACTTTTGTAACCCTTTCCAGCTTCATGCAAGTCAACAATTCTTGATCGTAGGTCTTCTGAGAGCTCTTTTCTGCGAGGCATGGTTCACATCAGACAGTGCTTCTTGAAACCAGTAAACCCCAACAGGTGTGTGTTTTTTTAGGGCAGGACAGCTGTCAGCAACACATCCAATATCATCACACTGATTTGAGTCAAGGTTGGCTCACTCCTGACTCCAATTAGCTCTGGGAGAAGTCATTAAGCTAGGGCCTCACATACTTTTTCCTCCCTGCACTGTGAATGTTTACATGTTATGTGCAATTAAACCATGGCAACATCTAAAGTTTGTGTAGTATTATGTTCAGCAGACTGTGTTCTTCTATTGTTGTGACTTAGATGACATTCAGAGCACATTTTATGCCCAATTCATGCAAAACTCCATGTAATCCCAAGGGGTTCACATACTTTTTCTTGCAACTGTATGTGGGAGAGGAGTGTGGAGGGTGGAAACAGCAGACAGTATGTGCAGGAGAGAAGTATGCAGGGTGTGACAGCAGGTAGTATGTACAGGAGAGATGTTCAGAGGGCATGACTGAGGGTATGTGCTGTATGTCAGTATGTGTAGCTGAGGAGATGGATTGTGCAGTGTTAGATGTGGCATGAAGTGGGAATCGGTGGCACAGCTGTGTACTTTCAGAAAGCATTCAATATAGGGAGGTTGGGCAGCATCAGATTTCTCTCTGCAGAGTTACATGGCTGAGGAGGGATGTGAGTCAAAACACAGGGGTGGGGTGGGGGTGGGTATGTGTTTAGACAGTCAGAGAGGAATAGGTGATATGTGTGTCAGTAGGGGAAAAGGGGTGAGGAGGCCAGGGAGTGATGAGTTAAAGCAGCCAAAGGGAGATTGGTGACAAGTCAGCTGGGTATGTTGCGTGAGGTGACAGTGAGCAGCCATCCTTGTCTCAGGACTGTGCAGCATGTGCAGGTCCCCCTCTAGCAATGATGAAACACTGTGCCCCATGCATTTGATGTAATGCTTTATAGGATTCCTACATATTCTATTCCGTGCAGTAAAATATGGAGCTAACAGTGTTGTAGAAAGAAATGCCCCGGCATCAGTGTGAGGGGAAGAAATGCCCCAACATTGGTGGTATTACTGAAAAAAAAAAAAAAAAATGTCCAGCACCGGTACTGTCAATAGAGGTGTCACTCGAGGGTGAAAAATGCCTCTGTGCCGGTGCTGTTACTGAATAGAAATAGTCCCCTTTGTCCGTGGTGTCACTGGACGGAAAAAAGCCCCTGCACTGGGGATGTCACTAAAAAGAAAAGATTTCTCTGGATCAGTGATGTCCCTGGAAGGAAATATTTCCCTGCATCAATGGTTTAATTGAAAGCAAAAAATGTCCCTGTGTCCATGGTGTCACTGTAAGAAAAAAAATTGCAACGTTGTTGGTGGTGGCACTAAAAGGAGAAAAATATCTCTGTGTTGGTGGTGTCACTAATGGGAACATTTCTCTGCATATATAGTATCAGTCTGAGGAAGAGGGAGTCTGAGGGACGCTGAAGAGTCACTGAACAGTGATCTACAGTAGATCCCTTTTCAGAGGACAGTTGGCCAGCAGTGAAGAGGCATTCTGTCTCCTCAGTGCCTGTTTTAACCCCTAAAATCCTGCACTAACGCAGCGCAACTGCATGCATTGCACGCAGGTGCAGTGTGACCCCATTCAGTGAATGGGTTTAGTTTTGCAGGTGCTACTGCCCATCGAAAGTAACAGGAGGTTTATTCCTTGCCTTTGCTTTTGCAGCGTAAAAGGGAGCAGTAGGGGGGCAGTAAACGTGTCTGAACCGCATGTTTTTACCACCTCCGAACCACAAGTTTAAGTGAACCCTGAGAGAAGTAGCTTGACTATAAGAGGAAGAGGGGAGCTCTGGAGCTAACTTGCTCCTCTGTACTGTTCAGACCTCTTAAGTGCAGCACCTGCCTGGGAATAAAATGTTGTCTTCTTCCCCTCTCCCTGTCATGTGAAATGATACTGACCAGCAGGTGCCGAAAAGGGGATATCTGTGTTATCAGTACATGCACTGCCCCATCCTGCCCATTTTACACCGCTGTTTGGACGGAGTAGAGAGCAGAATCCTGAGAAGCTATCTCAGCCCCTGCACTGTGCTCCGTTTTCGATGACAGGAGTGACCGCAGCCTCACTCCTGTTATTCAAGCAGCTAAATAATAGGGTGCTGACAAGTTCTCAGTGCCTCCCTCTACACATGGCAACATTGTGCCCAGGGCAATTGCCATTCTGCCCCCACCCTTGTCCTAGCCCTAAAGCACCTAAAATGTTGATCTCTTGTGCTTTTGAGTTTTCATTTATGTTGTAATTGGTCTTTGTCAGAGCTGCAAATTTTGATATTAGATCTTGCCCCTGGAGTCCCTGAGTCATGAGATGCCAGACCTGATTCAGGCCACGCCCAAACAAAATATTTATTTTTGGAGGTCTGATCATTTAAATGTGCTGTACATCAAACTCTTCTTCTCTCTATGCTTTTTTGTCATAGATTTAAAATGAACGGTGGACATATAGAAACCAGGAAAGTACATGATATCTGGGAGCTACATGGCAGTTATGATGTGGTTATGAATTGCACTGGGCTAGGCGCTCGGGATCTGATTGGTGATATGACAGTATTTCCTGTAAGAGGACAAGTACTGGAGGTCCATGCCCCCTGGCTTAAACACTTCATCAGAGATGTGGATGGCAGCACTTACATTTATCCTGGACAAGATGGTGTAACTCTTGGTGGAACCAGAGAAGTAGATGACTGGAGTCTCTTACCGGTTGCACAGACCAGCAAAGAGATAATACATCGCTGCTCTAATCTTGAACCTTCTCTGCATGGTGTTGCAGTAATCAAAGAGAAAGTAGGTCTGAGACCAACAAGGGCAGCAGTGAGAATAGAACAAGAGATCCTTTGCAAAAATAAGCAACAGCTTCCTACAATACATAATTATGGTCATGGTGGAGGTGGATTTTCTGTCCATAGAGGTACGGCTAAGGCAGCCACCGAACTGTTGGTAAAGTTGATCCCATTTAAAACAGACTTCTATTGCAAGTCAAAATTATAATTTATTTACCTATTCTTTGGTACAGTGTATAATTTCATTTTTCCTTTGGTACATTAGACAGACTGAATTTTATCACTTAATATATTTGGACAGTTATGCTTTCACACATGATTTTCTGAATATGTAAAGAAGAATATGTAAACCCAACTTTTCATATTCCTGATATGTGTCTGCTGTACCATGTACTTGTAAACATCCCCCCACTGCCATTCATTGAGAAGACAAGTGTGCTGCTGTTTCTCCACCATCACCTCTCTATGCAGCTGAAACCAGAGCGTATGCGATTACTTATTTTAAAATGTTAGGTTTTTTTACAAGGTGAGGGTTTAGATATACTTTAACTGGTCTGAAGATGTAGCTAAAGATGAATGGCCACCTTGAAGATATGCAAGATCTACCTATTGGCTCAAAAGTAAAATACAAATGAAACATATACCATATTTCATATGTACCTATATTTTTAGAAATGTTATTTTTAGTCCTGACATGAAGTAACTTTGTATATATTTTCATTAATAAAGTCTTCAGTATCATTCAGTGTATTTACCATACTGAGTTTACAATTGTATGTAATCCCTAGTTTATTATTCGGAGCTTACATTAGGACACAACTTGGACAGGCTTCATTGCCTGCTACAGTCATAAACTTTGCTGACCTCTCCTTTTTTGTCTTTCAGCCTGCACACTCAAAAAACAAAAAAAACAGACTTTGGAGTTTGCTATATTGTTGATTTACTAAAACTGGAGAGTGCAAAATCCGGTTCAGCTGTGCATGATAGCCAATCAGCTACTAACTTCAGCTTGTTCAATTAAACTTTGACAAAAAAAAAAAACCTGGAAGCTGATTGGTTACTATGCACCAGATTTTGCACTCTCTCCAGTTTTAGTAAATCTCCCGCAGTGAGCCCTCTCAGTATCGTTACATGCAGAGCTGCACCAGATTTTGCACTCTCCAATTATAATAAAAGCCTATATGTTTTTGTTTTTTGTCCCTTTCTGAATAAAAGGCAGGCTGTAAAGCCTTTGGATACTTTTAGAAAAATGAGTTTGATTTTGGTTTTTGGACAGCCTCATGGTGTTCCCTCCACCCCAATACAATCAACTTGTCGTGTGTCATCTCCCTTCCTATCACAGTTAACTGGCTACTCATAGCATCACACTAATCAGACATTTTATTCTCTAAAGGCACTAAAGAGATCTTTAGGTTGATTTATTAAAACTGGAGAGTGCAAAATCTGGTGCAGCTGTGCATGGTAGAAACCTCACCTTCAATTAAGCTTTGACAATAAAACCTGGAAGCTGATCGATTACTATGCACCAGATTTTGCACTCTCCAGTTTTAGTAAATCTCCCGCAGTGAGCCCTCTCAGTATCGTTACATTTAGAACTTATCACTGGAATATAAACTGTTGATTTACTCTGCTAGCGATTTGGTTCTAGGTCTATGGACTCAAAGTGGATGAACCATAAGTATACATTGAGGGGAATTTATCAAAATTGAAGCAGATAGAATCTGGATCAGTTTTGCACAACAAACAATCAGCCTGTATCTTTCATTGTCAAAGCTTAACTGAACAAGCTGAAGAACAAAGTTGATTGGTTGCCATTCACAGCTGCTCCAGATTCTGTCTGCTCCAGTTTTGATAAATTCTCCCCAATTATACTACCAATTTAAAAGCACAAATCATGCAGACAAAGCAGCAGTGGGACCTGGCCAAATGGTACTGGCAGACAGGGGACAACTTGGAACCTTTTATTATCTTGGATGTGTTCCTGATAGTAACGAGATGTGTGAGATTTGGCTTCAGAAATCCTGGGCTGTTTGCAGTGCTATGGAGCTGACCTCCAAATTTTTCGTTTGTAGCATTACCACTAGATGGCAAAGTTTGACTGCAATTCTATTATTTGATTGCATTTGCACATTGTTCTTTAGCTGAGTATCTCTTAATCTCATTTTTTTATCCGCCTTTTTTTTTCTTATTTTATTTTTTATTCTGATTCTATTCTACTTATTTTCTTTTATTTCTTTTCTGTGTATACCATTTTCAGCTATTTATATCCTTGTTCTTACAAGCTATTTGCACCAACTCTTAGAAATCATCTCTTCTGTACTTACCAGGGGTATGTAATGGGAATCTGTCTGCACAGAATTATGGAAGCTTCATTTGTGGAATTTGTTTTAGAAGTTTTATGTTAAAACTGTAATTTTTATTCTTGCTTAAAGTGCATGTAAATGCTAACAATGAGCTTATTTGTTACCTTTTGGCGTTTTTGAATATTCCATTGAATATATTATACAGGATTTATATAGCGCCAACAGTTTGCTCAGCGCTTTACAATGTACATATATATTTTGTTATATCTGTTCAATAAGTACAAAAAACAATTGATTTGTCAGAAATCCAGTGTGTTGCTGTTTGTAATGAAAACATAATACCTCTGCTGTTCTATAATCTCAAAAAGTGTTATCAGCCCTGACCAGTTCAGCTCCGTGGGCTATAGAACACCTCCCCCTTGTTTATGAAGATGAAGAGAGAGGAAGGATGTTTTTGCTTGGAGAATTTTCCTACCTTGCTCTAGGTCAGTGACTTATGAGGTAGTTACATTAATATGGGTGTACTGTATGTCACCATGAAATAAATTATTTGCACAAATAAGGCCCAACATTTTTCTTAAACGTTAGCCTGGTTCTGTGGAGCATTATGGATTCACATGGAGCATTACAGGGCCAATAGGAAAAGGTAAAGGTACATATAATAAATAAATAATGAGTGTGAATGAACAAAAAGAATCAAGGATTCAACAAAACTTTTCCCTGGTGTGATATAAATAAAGTTTTAGTGGAAAAAAATTGTGAAAAAATAATGTTACATCCAAGCACTTAACCCCCCCCCCCCCCCCAAAAAAAAAAAGATCCTGCCCCACCCCCACGCACATGAACATAAACAAACTTGTTAGCATGCCTACATATGCAAACAACGATAATTTTAGGGCCAATATTCACAGTTAACACCAAACTGATGTCCTATAGGAACTTTTAAAATGTTGCCTGCTGAAAATTTGGGGTAACAAGGTTTGTCATGTATAGTTCTTTTATACTTTACCAACAAAAATTGGGACATTTTGCGCTTGTGTGCATTAAAATTAATTTAGTGTATCCTTAACTAAAAATCTGCACTTGATAAACTGATGGACAACTATTGTGTGTCATCAAAAAATTAGAACTACTACTATTTTATTCTCCAGGGTATCTACCATGTTTTTCGCTCAATAAGACGCACTTTTTTCCCCCAAAAAGATGGGGGAAAATGTCTGTGCCATATGGAGCGGACGGCCCAGTATTTCCACCGCCACCATGTTAGAATACTGGGCAGCTTGGCTCTACTGTGTAGAAGAACTCACTCCTCCATCCTACCTGTTCCTTGTTCAAGCAGTGTCCTGCTTCCATCGGCCGTCTTCTCTCCCCTGTGCTGGCATCTTCAGTGTGAGCACCTAGCTGTGACAGCTTGCGGCTTCACAGCCGGGTGCCCACTGTGCATGTGCGAGAAGCGCTGCGCTTTGTGTATGGCTCCGTAGTCTTCTGGGACCTGTCACATGTCCCACAAGACTATGGGGAGGGAGGGGGAGGACAACTCTGCACAAGTGGGAGCGGGTACCCACTCCCCCCCTCCGCTCCCCAAAGGTCTGCAGTCTCTGGTCATCATCTCCTGTACTATGTCCGCAGTCTCTGGTCATCATCTCCTGTACTATGTCCGCAGTCTCTGGTCATCATCTCCTTTACTATGTCCGCAGTCTCTGGTCATCATCTCTGTATTATGTTTCAGTCTCTGGTCATCTCCTGTAGTAGTCCGCAGTCTCTGGTCATCTCCTGTAATATGTCTTCAGTCTCTGGTCATCTCCTTACTACAGTTGTCGCAGTCTCTGGTCATCTCCTGTACTATGTCCGCAGTCTCTGGTCATCTCCTGTACTATGTCCGCAGTCTCTGGTCATCTCCTGTACTATGTCTGCAGTCTCTGGTCATCTCCTGTACTATGTCTGCAGCCTCTGGTCATCTCCTGTACTATGTCTGCAGCCTCTGGTCATCTCCTGTAATATGTCCAGAGTCTCTGGTCATCTACTGTAGTATGTCCTGTACATGTCTCTGGTCAGCTGCTGAAGTACTACATGTCCGCAGTCTCTGTCATTTCCTGTACTATGTCCGCAGTCTCTGGTCATCTCCTGTACTATGTCCGCAGCCTATGGTCATCTCCTGTAGTATGTCCACAGTCTCTGGTCATCTCCTGTACTATGTCCGCAGTCTCTGGTCATCTCCTGTACTATGTCCGCAGTCTCTGGTCATCTCCTGTGCTATGTCTGCAGTCTCTGGTCATCTCCTGTACTATGTCCGCAGTCTCTGGTCATCTCCTGTAAGTATGTCCCGCAGTCTCTGGTCATCTCCTGTACTATGTCCGCAGTCTCTGATCATCTCCTGTGCTATGTCTGCAGTCTCTGGTCATCTCCTGTACTATGTCCGCAGTCTCTGTCATCTCCTGTAGTATGTCCGCAGTCTTTGTCAGCTACTGTAGTGTATGTCCGCAGTCCTCTGGTCAGCTACTGTAATATGTCCGCAGTCTCTGGTCATCTCCTGTAAAATGTCCGCAGTCTCTGATCATCTCCTGTACTATGTCCGCAGTCTCTGGTCATCTCCTGTACTGTGTCCGCAGTCTCTGGTCATCTCCTGTACTATGTCCGCAGTCTCTGGTCATCTCCTGTACTGTGTCCGCAGTCCTCTGGTCATCTCCTGTAGTATGTCCGCAGTCTCTGGTCAGCTACTGTAGTATGTCCGCAGCTCTGGTCAGCTACTGTAGTATGTCCGCAGTCTCTGGTCAGCTACTGTAGTATGTCCGCAGTCTCTGGTCAGCTACTGTAGTATGTCCGCAGCTCTGGTCATCTCCTGTAAAATGTCCGCAGTCTCTGATCATCTCCTGTACTATGTCCGCAGTCTCTGGTCATCTCCTGT